CAGTTTTGTTTATAGTAATATAGCTGGAATATAACCATGTCAGTAACATGATTTGTTAACATTAAAATTATTGACATTTGTATCTGATCGTCAAACAAGTACTTGTCCATATTGAGAGATATTGCTCTGGAACAGCATTCAAAATCAGCCATTTTGAATACATGTATATATAAATTATATATATATATATATATATATATATATATATATATATTAGGTTATATATATATATAACATGATGTATAACAAATATATAAAATTTGAACATAATCAGTCAAAGCATTTAAGAGATATGGCTCTAGAAGTCCAATCATTAAAACAAAAAGCCCGCCAGTCAGCCATTTTGAATCCAATCTGAAAAATAAAATGACGTGCATCAGGAACCCAAAATGTCTAATGTATGTACCAAGTTTGAATGAAATCCATCCATAAATGCCAGAAATGCTTGATATTTGATGATTTTTTAGCACAAAAATGACCACCATTCGGCCATTTTGAATAGGATGTATTTTAGAGAAACACAAGCCATGCATGGCACAGTTCCCATATGTCAGAGATATGGATCCAAAAGCTGATTATGATGATTTTTTAACATTAAAATGATTGACATTCAGTCATCTTATTTCTGATCGTCAAACAAGTACTTATCCATATTGGGAGATATTGTTCTGGTACAGCATTAATTAAAACAAAATGGCTAGTGGTTAGCCATTTTGAATACATCTGTATATTTATAACATGATGTATAATGAATATTTAAAATTTGAACATAATCAGTCAAAACAAGTCAGAGATGTGGGTCTAGAAGCCCATTCACTAAAACAAAATGGCCACCAGACAGCCATTTTGAATTCGATCTGAAAAATAAATGATGTGCATCAGGAACCTGTAATGTCTAATAAGTGTACCAAGTTTGAACGAAATCCATACATAAATGCTTGATATTAGATGATTTTTTAGCACAAAAAAGGCCACCATTTGGCCATTTTGAATAGGATCGTCAAACCAATATATCTGTCTATCTATGACATGATTTATAATAAATATTTAAAATTTGAACATAATCAGTGAAAACAAGTCAGAGATATGGCACGAGAACCATATTCATTAAAACAAAATGGCCACCAGCCATTTTGAATCTTATCTGAAAAACAAAATTATTTGCATCAAGGTGATGAAC